CAACTCAGGCTTCCTGCCTACTAGTCAGTCATTATTCTTTAGACTTGAGAACTTTCAAAACACTGTTTAGGTTGCTTTGAAATTCCCCCTTTCAGATTTTCCCTCCTTCATGGAACATCTATTTATAAGAGAATGACTTCAAAAATGTCTTGCTGCACCCAATCAAAACTAAGCAAACTAAAAATGCGAGCCTTAGATATGAAGGTGGAAAGTAAATACGTAAAGTTTGGTGAACACCAATCTAAAAGTACAGAACAGAAAGGAAAAAGTATTTCCAGCCAAACATGAGAACAGTATTTTTCTCATATGTATATTAATCCTGTTTCTGAAAATTTTCATATTTATATGGAAGTATGTTAAAGACTACAATATTGCCATCACTTTCTTAACAATACCATATAGAGATCTAAAGGTCTCAAAACTACATTGGGGCGAACAGTAAAGGGCTACCTTAATTGTTAATGACAAAAGTTCACACTAAAATGAAATATATTCGTTTATTTAAAAAAGTTGTCAAAAAAATTACCAGCAGCAGTCACCTGGAAACCTAGGGAATTTCCCATTTCCTCTGACCATGCTTTGATGGTGGTAGTAGTACTTGATTAATCAATTTATCTGGTTGTTGAAATAAACCAATGGAGCTACTCTATAGACAGAGACAAGATGTGTGGTGGTGGGGAGAGGGGAAGCCATCTGCCCAGCTCAACATAGATTTTTTCCTTTTTACAGAAGGCAAAAGCATTAAAAATTAAGGTGAAACACACTGGTTCATAGGTAACAACTTGCCTCATTGACGTATTTTTCCAACACCTCTTACAAAAACAAAAAGACTAATTTATTTCAAACAACATTCAATGAAGCTCAATCCCAGTACAACAAAATAATTTGGCTAGTCCCCTGGAGTTTGTTATAATGGGATTTAACCTGTACACTCAACATTCAATTAACCATGAGGCTTATCCTAATAGAGGATTAGGCTGACTTCTGCAGTCTGCTCCCATCTAGCCATCACCACTCCTACTCAGCTGCCATCACTACCAAAAGCAAAGCCCCAGGGAGTAGATTATCCATTACTGTGTGATATCCAAGCCAATATCCTCTTTTGATCATTATGTGAATGATGAAGAGTTGAATTTAATAATCTAGTCAGCCTAGTTTCCAAAAAGTGAAGCTTCATAACCCTCAATCATTCAGTCTCTAACTAAGGAAATAAAGCATTTCAGAAGAATACCTTCATAGGTGAACAGATTTAAAAAACCACACTCATTCCTAGAACATGTCAATAGAAAAGTAAAAACTAGGACCCAAATGTTCCTAAAGAAAAAAATAGGGCAAAGAATAAACAGAAAAGACTAGTCCACTTGCTTTTAGAATATTCTTTGAAATAGCTAAAGCCTGTTTGCCAGTTAGGTCAAACTTCCCTCTAGGCCACAAGTTTAATACACAGTTAAATAAACCTTTATTACTGTTACCCTGTAAATTGACCTAGGCCAGCAGAAAGAACCTACCAAATTGAGTTAATGTTGACAAAGTTGGGAACTGGCAATATGTAGTCTAAGAAGATCATCCAGTTGTGGATAAATCAGGTCTTCCTTTCAAATCCTGCTGTGTATCTTCTGGCCATTTTCCTGTTCATTTAACAACTCTCCACAAGAAGGCAGGGAAGGGAAAGGTGATTAAATTCAAGTCAATTCCAACATTTGTTAGGGGGCTGAAAGTAAATTTAGACTCTGGATAAATTGCATCCTTAACTCAAAATAATCTCCAAGAAACCCTGTCAGAAAACCAATGGACCAAATGAATTTACCTAGCAAACATTAACAAAGGAATAAGCCTCATTACAATAGAGACCCTCCTCCACTTTAGCTGTGAAATGTTCATTTTGTAATCTCCTCCCCCACCCTAAAACGTACTTACAAAATGCAAGAAAATGCCTACATTTTACTGCATTCAATCTCAGTGCTACCCTGAGGATATAAACTGTCGCCAATTTCTTTAATCTGTTGCACTATAAGAAAAAAGAAAAGTTAATTTATATTCCTAATACTAATTTTCTGTTCCCAGAGCTTTAACCACTCAGTAAAGCAAAAAAGGAATACTCTACACTACAAATAGTAAATTTAGACCACACTGAGACGATGCTCTCTGATTTAACCTACAAGAAACTACAGTATCTCTTCAGTCATGACTAACAACTTATTTTCTAATCCTAGATAGCATTAAAAGACTGACAGTAATGTTTAATTGTGTTAGCTTTACTCTGAAGATAAACAGCCATTGGATGCCACACCATTTCTACACGTGCAACAAATCAAAAGTTTTCAGAAGTAGTCTGCATTCTCTAGACATCACTTAAAAATTATATAGTCTAAAAAAATGGAGGAAGAAATCCTAAAGACATTATTTTAACACCAATTAGGAACAGAATAAGAGAAGTTTAGTTTGGACAACAGGGTAAGATTTTTACAAGACTTTTTTTTTTATTATTCTTTTAAAAGACTTCCCAAAAACACAATACTCTTCAAGTCAAAGGACTATTCAAGGATCCTACTTCTAATTCGCAAAAGACTGAATTTTTTAACTTTTATCTTTAATATGTCCCTAACATAGTAAGAAAGTTTATTTACAAAAACCAGTCAAGGCTCACTCCTTACTAAATGAATTTTCTCCTATTTGCTCAGGGGGTGGGAGGCAATTTGTAGAAATAATTCTCATGCAGGAAGAAAAACGGCACACTATCCTCACTTTCAAAATACAGTGAAATTGTTTAGTATAATCCCTAATACCTTAAACTCTAATCATTGAATTTTTTAAAAGAATTGCTTAGTACTGGCATATTTAAAACCAGGATTCTAATATTTTAAAAAGCAGGAGTCCTGATAATCATGCTGTGGTTGTTTTGCATTTTAAAAACCTCTGTAGATAATCTTTTATGCTAGAAACATTTCCTTTAATTGCTCTAGAAATATTACAGCTTCCCACTTACTCCACAATCCTCACATCTAAAAGGTGCTTCTATATATGTCAAAAGCTGACATATGCCCTTTTTTGGGGAGGGGAGCAGGACTGATAAGACAATTAAGTCATCTTTATCAATACACAAAATACCCCTACAATTTAGGATCAAAGGCAACCTAGATTACTCCTCATTTAAATGCAGATCCTGAAGCAACCTCTAGTGACCGGAGCTATATGTTCAATATCATTTTACATGTTACAAACAGAGGCTTCATCTTACGAACAATGAACCTGGGCAGGGTTCTTCATCCTAAAGCCCCACAGATTATTTCTTTTAAAGGTGTTAGCAGATAAGGTAACAAACTATCATTTCAGAAGAGCTTACCTAATTGCTATCAACATTTTTCTAAGACAGTTAAGAAGAAAACAGGATTCCCACCACATTTTCCCCTTCTTATGTTCATTTTATTTCCCTGCTTTTGGTATCCAACAGGGATGTGTTTCAAATGAAAATCTTAACATAATTATTCCAAAAACCAAGGATTGTCTAGAAACCAGTAACAGTCGCTGCCTCCTAGGAAGGGGGAATCGGAGGGTTTAGAGTGAAGACTCATTTTTCAATGTTTCTGTACCTTTCCAGTTGGGAATCGTATTTGACAGAACCTACTCTTAATAAACAGAGAAACTAATTTACATTTTTCTCAAGAATAAACATTTCATGAACTTACAGACGTCCGTTTTTCCATTTAGTTCATGCGGCATTCGCAAGAGCTATGATTTTTTTTTCATCATCTTCTGAACAACCTGCTGCAACAAACACGGAAGCTGTCTCGCAGCCAGTGGATCCGAAGGCAGGCATTTAAACCAAGGAGATGCAGCAATCTCACTCAATGCTACCAACTCTCACTCACCTCACTGAACTCCTTTTAAAACCACTGCACCAAGACAGCTGGTACTCGCCTTCCTGTTTCTTTACAGTACAGGCTTAGTAGCAAAAACAGTTTGGCTTTGAAGTGTGCTCAAAAACTGCAAAAAGGAAGTCTTCACATTCGGGAGGGGAAAAAAAGTTTCGACTTTGGAAGAATGTCATATGGCTTTCGTGTCATTCCATTTGGGAGTCCCGAACTCCCTCGGATAGTGAGATTTAGAGAAGATGCTCTCTCCCTCTCACTACCACCGCTCTTTCGGTTAACTTTTCCACCGAGTGCCCTCAAACTGCCTAGGAAGCAACTCAGCCTTCCAACGGCTCATAGATTGCTTTTGTAAGACGTGTAAGACAGTGTATTTAAATCATTTCAAACTGAATCAATGTACGTAAGAAAATTAGAGACGGGGAAGGTCAAAACTAGTAATAATAAAGACAGCCAAACCCCAAATTTAATCCAACGTCCCACTTGCCATTTCCCAGCCTTCACACCAGAGGTAGTAAAATGCCTTTTTACGGAGAAAACTGCTGAGAACCTACCCGTGCCCAAAATGGAAATTCTGCTGATAATTTGTGTGAAAATTTGTAAAATACCCGAGTGCAGGAGGAAACAGCAACAAAAATCCAATCCGATTCTGAGTACCACTTGGAGGATGGCGTGGGGGTCTGTAGGGGGTCTTCCCCCCACCCTAATTCTTCCGAGTAACTGCGAAGGAGCCAAGGCAGAGAGAGGAAGGGGACGCGAGGAGCTTTCAAAAGCAGCCCCAAAGGCTGGGGAAAGATAAAACTTTAAGGACAGGAGGGAAAAGTGGGCCCCCGTGATCCCCCCAAACTCCGCGAGGTGACCCCTCAGCGCGGGGACCCCCTCGGACTCCCAAGCCGGCTACCGCCCAGTCTCGACTCCGGTCCTCCGGCCGCGGGCTGCCCACAAGCTGCAAGGAAGTGGCGCGGCCCCGACACCCCAAAACTCTCAGCGCGCCCCCAGCGCGGCGCGCCCCTCAGCGTGTCCGCTGAGCCCAAGCTGCCGGCTCGCGGCAGCCGAGCCGACTCACCCTCTTCCCTCCGCCTCGCACGCCACCCCCTCGCCCTCCGCCGCTCCTCCTTTATCTCCACTCACCGCCGGCCGCCATTTTCCTCGCAGCCCAGCTTTAAATAGGAAACTCGCCGCTCAGCCCTCAGCCGCCACCGCTGCCGCCGCCGCCGCCGCCGCCGCCACCGACTCAGCCGCTGCGGCCGCCGCCGTCGCTGTGGAGAGGCTGAGGCTACAGCGGCAGGAGCCTGGGCGCCGGGGCCGCCGGGATATGTAGTCCCACGGCCACGCCCAGCACTACCGGTCCCAGGGGGCCTTGCGCGGTCTGGGCGCTGGGAGCTCCCACCCCGCCCAGCAGGCGCGGCGAGAGGGCGGGGCTGTGTCGCCCCTCCGGCTGCTCTCGCTCACTACCACCTGGGAGCTGCGATGGGTCCGCAGTACTGGAATGCAACCCAGCCCTGCCCTTAGTTTTTTCATATTTGCCTTCGTCAGTAGTATCTAACATTTGTGGAGTGTTTTTTGTATGCCAGCCACTGATTCTCGAAAGAAGCGTCCTTGGGGACCTCTATTACCCTCATTGTTCAGAAGCGCAAACTGAGGCACAAGGTCAGAAGACACGGGGCTGTTCATTCTGTGCTAAAGTCACTGGGCAAAAGGTTGTTGAGCAATAGTATATTCACTATGTTCAGTCCCAAGTATCATCCCACGGAGTACTTAGAACTGGGAACAGCTTACTTTATGGTGGAGAGATCTGGCAGACACCACCTTAATCAACTGATCTAATCACCAGTCACCATCACTTAGCATCACCTAGAATTGATCAAACTGACTTTATGTGTCTCCTGATAATGATGCGGAAGGCATAACACCGCCTCCCTAGTATTCCTGCCAAAAAAATTGCTAAACTCAATCTAACTATGAAATAGCAATCAGGCAAATCCAGAATGTGGGGGTGTGCTACAAAACACCTAGCCTATGCTCTTAAAAATACCAAAGCCTGAAAGAGGTGAAAACCAAATGCAATAGATGAGTCTTAATTGGATACTGGGCTTGTATTTGTTTATTTTGCATGTAAAAGGGACTTTGGGGGAAATATTAATGTGAACTATACGTTGGATAGCATTGAATCAGTATTAAATGTCGAGTGTGAATAGATGAAAAAAATAATCACTTACCAGCTCCATCACCATCACTTCCCACCTGGACTATTGCAGTCTCTTCCTCACGGTTCTCCCTGCTCCCACGCCAACCCTTCCCCCTCCAGTCGAAAAACCAAGTCCCTTCATGCCTGTCCTGTTGTCCAAGATCTTTGCAGTCACCCCACACAAGTGAGATTAAATCAAGTGAGATTGCTACATCTCCTTGGTTTAAATGCCTGCCCTCGGATCCACTGGCTGCAAGGCAACTTCCATGTTTGCTGCAGCAGGTTGTTCAGAGAATGATGGGGGGAAAAAATCATAGCTCTTGCCAATGCCACATACTCCAAAATGGAAATGGACGTCTGTAAGTTCATGAAATGTTTGTTCTTGTAAAAAATGTGAATGAATTGCTTTGTTTATTGAGAATAGGCTCTGTCGAATATGATTCCCACCTGGAAAGGTACAAAAACATTGAAAAATGAGTCTCTTTTACTCTAAACCCTCCGATTCCCCCTTCCTAGGAGGCAGCGACTGTTACTGGTTTCTAGACAATCCTTGGTCTTTGGAATAATTATGTTAAGATTTTCATTTGAAACACATCCCTGTTGGATACGAAAAACAGGGAAATAAAATGAACATAAGAAGGGGAAAATGTGGTGGGAATCCTGTTTTCTTTTATATTGTCTCTCTTTTCCTTCCCTTGCAAGCTCATCATCACTCACATCTCATCCATTCACTGTATTCCCTGTACATTAGACTCCATGGGATCCCTCCAACGTGCCTAGCACGCTCTGGCCTCAGAGACCTTGCTTTTGCTATTTCCTCTGCCTAGTTCACTTTTTTCTAGAAAACCTAAACCACTCATTCCCTTATCTCCCCCATGGTCATTGTCCAAATGTCACTTTCTCAGTGAAACCTTCCCTAACTTCTCTATTTTTAATTCCCACCCACTCCAATCCCGGAGTTCCCTACCCCTCTTCCCTGCTTCATTTCTCTTCACAATACTTTTTACCATTGAAAACACCACATTTTTTGCATACCTACAGTATTCAATATGTCTGTTCCTCACTAGAATGAAAGCTTCATGAAGGTAAGACTTTTATCTCTTTTGTTCTTATGTATTGTCCATACCTTCAGAGCTTAGCAATAGTATGTGCTCAGTCAGCATTTGGTGTATGGATGAATTCTCCCCAATATCAAAAAACAGATAATAAATATTATGTTAGATGTTGAGAATCCAGAGATGAAATACTAAGGCACTGCATGACCTTTCACCTGAAAACTGCGGCTGTCCCCCAGCTGCTCTCCTTGCTTCTCCCATTCGTCATCCTGTAAGCCACTCCCCACACAGTAGCCAGAGGGATCTTCAAAAAATCATACATGAAATTATGTCATTTCCAACCTGAACATGTTCCAGTGGCATCCCATTGCCCGTGGGATAAAACCCAGACCCTGACTGATTTAGTCTCTGCTTCCTTCTCTGATCTCAACTAATGTCTCTTCTCGCTTCCTACCCCATGCCAGACACTGGCATTCCTGATGTTTCCTGAACATACCAAGAATGCCACAGGGCCTTTCACTTGCTGTTCCCTTTGCTGCCTGGAATTTTCTTTCCTCCTGGCTTGCTTCCTATTGTCATTCAGATCTCTACTGAAATGTATTCTCTTTCCGGAGATCTTCTAAAGCCCTATACACCCACAGTCTTCATAATGGTTAATACTACCAGAATTTTTTCTGTAACCTCCAAAAGGGCAGAGAATTTGTCTGTTTAGTTCACTGTAGTGTCTCCAGCACCTAGATTAGTGCCTGGCCTATATAGTATGCACTTCATAAATATCTGGTAGTAGTAGTAAATATGAGTAAGTAGTAAATGTTCTTATAAATAGTCTGTGAAGATGCCTGCCATCATTCCTTTCTCCCTGTTTACATAAGGCACTCTCCCATCAAGAGGTAAACTTTATTTCCCCTTCCGTGAGTTGGGGTTGCTCTCTGACTGGTTTGGCCATGGCCAATGGTTTGGCCATGTGTGAAGTTATAGGGTGAGACTTTCAAGCCTACCCCTAAAACATCTCTGGCAGCTTCCATCACCTTCCTCTTGTCACCCAGCTGCTATACTATAAGAATCCCAGGCCACCTGGAGAGGCCACATGGAAGAAAATTGAGGCATTCCAGTCTACAGCTCCAGCTAAAAGCCCAGGCAGGACCCAGTAGTGAGTCAGCCTTCTTATATATTCCAGTCCCAAGAGACCTCAGATGACTACAGCCCCTACCAATAAGATCTGGAACAGAAGAATCACACATTAAGGCCAATCAACCTACAATATCATGACAAATAATAAAATGGTTGTTCTTTAGACCACCAAGTTTTGCAGTGGTTTGTTACGCAGCAAATGATAACTGCAACACTACACGTGTGGGCTTTGGTTGACCTGTGGTTGAGAATTTTGAATAGGAAAGAAGAATGGTCTTAAAGTCTGGAATTACTCCAATAAAATTGCCTTGACCTAGAGGACACAGAAACATAAACTCTTTGAGGATGGCATAGAAGGTCACCTAGCTTAGGCCCTCCAATAATGAAGACATTCTGCTTGCAACATTTCTGACTACAGGAAGCCTCTACTTCCATGTTCCCAGTAGGGTTGCTCCCTTCCTCAGGGGTAGCTGTGCCAGTCAGGGTAATTGGGTGGCAAGCAACATAATTGACTCAGGAATGTAATTAAATAATATGTAAGAATTCACAAAATCAAAGAGGACCCAGGCCCAGAAATATCAGGAACCAGGGGCAAGAAGCTCTTGTCTGAGACCAGCAGTAAATCCAGAGAAGATCAGTCATTTTTCCCTATCTTATCATCACCCAATTCCAAGATTCAAATTCAAGAGGAATTTGTCAGTTGGTCTAGCTTGGGTCATATATAGTATATGCAAGTAATAGGCTACCAGACCAGTAATTATGCTAATTAGTAATCATGCTAATTACAACTTACTCTCAAATGATACAGGTGGGGGAAAAAAAGAAATACACACAGAGTGCATGCAGAAAATGTGGCAAGCTTTTTTCAAGTAGTAAATCTAGGCTCAGGGTAGACAGGTGTTTATTGTATTATTCTTGCAAGTGTTCTGTACACTTGAAATTTACCAAATAAAAAGGTTCAGAGAAAAAAGTTATGGCAGAAAAAAAGATAATATGAGCCAGCACTTATAGAAACCTGTGCTCATCAGGCATTGCTCAAAGTCCTTTATGTATATTAGTTTACGTTACCCTCAAAATGACTTTAAGCAGTGGGCTTTTATTATCTCCATTTTACAGATGAGTAGAAGAAGGTATTGAATGAGTAAGCAGCTTGCCCAAGGGTATGAGCTACCAAGTGCTAGAGTCAGGATATAAACCTAGGCTCACCAGCTCATGTTTTTAACTCTTATACTGTATTGCCTCCCCACACACACATAAACAATAAAAATATTTGATTGTCCCACATAACATCTCTAGAGGTAGACAGTTCCAGAGTATGTTCATCACGACCAGGATGTTACACTCCTCCTGCTCCATCATCTTATCGTTAGTTTATAGCTTCATGGACACAAGGTGGCTGCCGCAGCTGAAACATCACATCAACTCACAATCAAGTCCAAATGCAGGAAGAAAAAGAGTGAATAGGTGTCCAGAGAGATGTGTATCTCTCCATTTTTTCCAGATATAAAACCCCCAAAATTTCCCCCTCTCCCTGATCATCCCTTACCCCTACCCCCAAAGCAAATGTCCCCTTATATCTCATTATAGTGGTGACCTGGACCACATGGTCACCCCTCAGTGACCTGGGGTCTGGGAGCCCAAGCATTTAGTACTTCAGCCATGGGGTGTAAGTGAGTGGATGAGTGAGTGCTTCTCAGTTGCCTGGTCCAGTCCAGAGACTCTGCCTCTGTCCCTGCCCCCCTTTCTCAGTCCCCCACATTATTCCCTCTTTCATTGTGTGACAATATAGCCTAGCGGTTAAGAGTGTGGGCTTTGGTACTCACTGCCTGACTTGCTCAGCTGGTTCTGCTACTTATAAAACTGTATGCTAATGGCTGTTACTTGAACTTTCTGTGCCTCCATGTCTTAAAATGGTAACCACAATAATAATAATAATACCTATTTCAT